ACTGAAATAATGACTGAGTTACGTGACAAATACCTGTCTCTTATACACATCTAGATGTGTATAAGAGACAGATCTAGTTTATCGCAAAGGGCCGATAATGCAGTGTGCACGCTCGCTACCGTTTGGTAGACTCTGCGGAAAGATGTTTATTTCCGTTTATCGGAGTATTAACTTGGTGATGCAAATGTCTGATCTTGTATTCAAGATAAGATGAGGTGTTTTGTGTAATCTCGAAAGCAACTACGAATTCGATCGCCAGTCAAATGATCACGTAAAAAATCCAAAAATCTTCACTGAAAAGCTAGATAGACGATCTGTATGACCAGACCTCTTTTTATCACATCAGCTTTTGATCGCACTATTGGCAAATAACATGGATTTTAAATCTCACGGTTTTAGTACTCATTACTCCATCATTCCTGACAGCGCGATAATCATTCATATGTATATATGTATATTCGTACGTGTCAGATAATATCGCTTCAGTGTTGTATTACATGACACTGGCTTGTTGACGATACATAATGTTGTCAACAATAAAATTCCTGCACAGCTCCTACTCATTACAATTAACGTTGCTTATTGTCGTATCGCGCGTAGTTCAGTAGTGCGATTTCGAAAGCTTACGCACTTTACTTTTCATGGATACAACATTCTGTTTCGCATTTGACAACGAATACAACAATCTAATTCACAATGCAGACGATTTTGCTATCTTAAAATTAATGTAGATACTTGGGTATTATATAGAAGGGGATTGGCTAAAAATAATAAAATTGATGACGTAACTAAGTATTATTCGATCGTAAACTTATAACATCAAGACCTATCGTATTGTACACACACGAGCCCTCCATAGTTGGACTGTGTCCTTGAATGATGATTCCAACCATGTTCCAACCATGTGTTTTTTCGTGTATCCTGTCAAGAATGATCTAAAGATGTGGTTATTTCACACAACACCTTTAAACTAGTTCGTTTAATGTTTAACCACGTTTTCCCACGCTGTCCACAGCTTGGATGAATTTCGCCACACTATACGCTATGTTAAAATTTATAAAGCAGATGGCACTTAGTGCATAACCAACCATATGTTAGTACTGTATATCTTTCTTTAAAGATTATTAACAACAAGCATGACTTGGTCGTATTCCTAGCACTATCCCCTTAAACAGAGCGTGTATATGACGCTGAATTAACCGTGACGGATGTATAACTTCGTCCTATATTCCTAACAAAAATTTAAAATATAGGTTTGAGTTATTTTAATGAACAAGATCAGCGACCCAGATCGTGTTTACTCATATTCTTTATTGTCTGTCGATGTGTTTTTTTACGTATGGGAAATTTTAGGCTCGGTGAGGCATCGCGGCAGTGTCTTTTCTCCAGTTTAATTTTCACAACAAAACTGACAAATAATCATTAACGATACAGAACAGGTATAATGAAAGTGGACTTTATTAGCGATTCCGATTTATATACCATAATAATACTATAGGCCTACTTATAAGTGTATAAAACTGATGTGTTTTCGTGGAATGTGGTGCTAACAACACGAGTTCACAGTCATAAAGATATCGCAAAAATTATGACTATATTATTACTTAGTATAATATGTATGACTGCCGCACATACCCCTTTTTTGATTGTATGTAGGCCTACATTATTGTAATAAATAAAATATACATAGTAACTGTAATATGAGATGGTAATATTTTGGAATTCGTTGCCGTTTGCAACGAAGAAAAAAATAAAATTCAAATTTCCCAGAAGAAAATTTTAATTTCTTTAACTTGAGAAAAGATAAACTAATGTAGGCCTATGGTCTTACTATTTTACTAATAAATCTACTACTACAGACCCATTTCACTTGTGTATAGCCTACTATTTAATGGGTTTTTTAAATATATTAATCAATAAACTTCTAAAGAAAAAAAACCCGAAGAAATATACGCTGCAAAAGTTGGTTGAGTTATTGCACGTGAAATACACAGGACATGATCGCTGGTCAGGTCGTAGTATTTTTTTGATCAGGTAAATACAGATTATATGCCTATTCCATGATTTGGTCAAGAGGCGATATGATACTTCTTTGAACTCCCGCTTGTTGGCATAATCGGTATTACGTGCATAATGTAACTCATCGCAGGTAAAAGACCCCGAAATACTTAATCGAGATAACACATGAGATACAGGAAAGATGGGATATTTTGACTTCCTGTTCCATTGGCTTAAAAATCGATCAAGGTAAAATTTATAACAAACCGATGCGGGTCATCCTGTGCTTTGTCCTAAGCAGGTTCGCGTCAGTTCTGGCTAACAATAGGGCGCTTTCGATTACACGGCGACTATGACGGTACGGTAGGATGCAGAACGTAAGTCATCTGCGCATGCGATAACGTTAAGGTCCCTTCGTGGAGTAGATTCTGAATCTGGAACACAATTTGGCCAAATCTACGTATGCAGAGAACCAGAGAGAACGTAGGACGCCAGGTAGGACGGTCACGCATGAGTGATTCTGTTCTAGCTTACGTCGCGTCGTCACACAAATCGAAAGCTCCCCGGATAATACACTAAACGTCCCTGGTCAAATTAATGTAGTTATAGGTCTATACCTCTTAGTTGCACGAAAGAGGAACTAAAAAAATGAGAATAAATTTTTATACCTTCTTGGTTGGACCATAGAGGAAAGAAAGCAGAGGACGTACTCATAAGGCGTATTGATAAAGTGGTTCCATCATGCTGCGGGACTACTTCTTGACTCCAAACTCAGTTACGGGAAAGAATACGCGTGATTCAAAGTAAACGTAAAAAATAATCACAAACTCCAAAGAACGAATGATAAATTATATTTTACATTTGCCAAATTCGATTGCATTGCTTGTAAAAAGCTGTACTGTTTGTGAAGTTTAGTGTTAATAATATAGCTAGATAGGCCTAAGTACATATTGGTCGTCATTTAGGCCTTAACGAAAAAAAAAGTAAACGAGGAAATTACCTTGCCAAATTTAATTGTAACACCAATTAATTAGTTCTAAAATATTGAAGGCTATTGCACTTTGGTCTGATCTGGTCTCGTTAGTGATTAAAGCTCTTTACTCGGTTATTAAATCGCAGTTTTATTAGCGCATCAATCAGGTATAGGTAATTTACAGCCGTGATAAAAACCGGATCTAATAGCCGTTGGGCTAAAACCACGTAAATTACCGACGGTGCATTTACGCCTTTGTAGGCCTAATAATCGAGTGGCAATAATGTCACATAACTTCTTGTCAATAGAGGTACCCCGTTTCATCATCTTCATATTATCGTGTATATATATATATATATATAATATAAAACGGCTATTTATAACAAACCGATGCGGGTCATCCTGTGCTTTGTCCTAAGCAGGTTCGCGTCAGTTCTGGCTAACAATAAGGCGCTTTCGATTGCACGGCGACTAGGCACTAGTGACGGTACGGTAGGATGCAGAACGTAAGTCATCTGCGCACGCGATAACGTTAAGGTCACTTCGTCGAGTAATTTGGCCAAATCTACGTATGCAGAGAACCAGAGAGAACGTAGGACGCCGGGTAGGACGGTCACGCATGAGTGATTCTGTTCTAGCGTACGTCGAGTCGTCACACAAATCGAAAGCTCCCCGGATAATACACTAAACGTCCCTGGTCAAATTAATGTAGTTATAGGTCTATACCTCTTAGTTGCACTAAAGAGGAACTAAAAAAATGAGAATAAATTTTTATACCTTCTTGGTTGGACCATGGAGGAAAGAAAGCAGAGGACGTACTCATAAGGCGTATTGATAAAGTGGTTCCATCATGCTGCGGGACTACTTCTTGACTCCAAACTCAGTTACGGGAAAGATTACGCGTGATTCAAAGTAAACGTAAAAATTAATTACAAACTCCAAAGAACGAATGATAAATTATATTTTAAATTTGCCAAATTCGATTGCATTGCTTGTAAAAAGCTGTACTGTTTGTGAAGTTTAATGTGAATAATATAGCTAGATAGGCCTACGTACATACTGGTCGTCATTTAGGCCTTAACGAAGAAAAAAGTAAACGAGGGAATTACCTTGCCAAATTTAATTGTAACACCAATTAATTAGTTCGAAAATATTGAAGGCTATTGCACTTTGGTCTGATCTAGTCTCGTTAGTGATTAAGGCTCTTTACTCGGTTATTAAATCGCAGTTTTATTAGCGCATCAATCAGGTATAGGTAATTCACAGCCGTGATAAAAACCGGATCTAATAGCCGTTGGGCTAAAACCACGTAAATTACCGACGGTGCATTTACGCCTTTGTAGGCCTAATAATCGAGTGGCAATAATGTCACATAACTTCTTGTCAATAGAGGTACCCCGTTTCATCATCTTCATATTATCGTGTATATATATATATATATATAATATAAAACGGCTATCTTGATTTATATTATATATATATATATATA